TTGGGGTAGGGGAAAGCCTAGTAAACATAATGTTCTTCATGTAATTGTAGATTAATGATAACAAAAGAAAAAAATAAAAATTAATATTAAAAAATAAAATGAAATGCTGTCTATACTCCGTTTTCCTATTAGTGATGTTTAGTTAAATGACTGCCAAACTGTCCATAAGTGCTCTGTAATAATTATGAGTTAGTCTGAAATCGCTTGTTTTTGTCTCTTCTTCTCATACTGTGGGCATGGGCACCAGGTACCCCTTGTCAGGCTTCCGGGACCCAGGTCCTGTGGGGCCTTGGTGCCAGGAGGCTTGGCTCCCCAGGTGAGCCTGGAAGGTGAGCGCTTTCCCAGGTCCCCCCACCTCCTCCCAGACCGCCTCTGGCCTCCCGGCCCCTCTTACCTATTCTTCTTGTCCGTGTCATTCAAGCCATTTTTCCCCATAAACAGAATCTGCTTCACTCTGGCTACTTTGCCCTTACTGGCAGCCATGTGGATCTTTCTGACATCTTTGCTTCGGATATGGTACTGGGCCTGAAAGTTGACTCCCCAGCAGTCAACCTCTGTGTTAGTGGAATGGTTTCTGAAGGAGCACTGCAGACCCCAGGATCCAAATATCCTCTTCATCATAACAAACCCTCGGGCTTCAGACCTCAGCTCCCCTGCTGCCGTCCACTGAACAGCACTAGTGCTGTGTAAGCCAACCTAGGGGCCACAACAGCCCAGACCCCAGTCAGCAGTTAGCACACAATAACTCCAGGCAACACAAGTGTCCCACCCAGATGACATAACAGGGCGGGGCACTCAGAGACCAAGGGTGTGGAGTGTGTATGTGAGGGCCCAGACAAGGCTAATTTCGGATGGTGCTTGAAAGGAGCATTGGGTTCCCTTCAACTTCAGTGGGCAGGTGGTGGGGGGAGGTTGCTGAACTGGTAAATTGGCAGAAAGTACACTAGTCCACATGGAAAAGCTGTGTATGGGGGCAAGAGCAGCATGAAACTTCAGGATGTTGAAGACCTCCTCCCCACAAAACTCCCCTAAAAAACTCTAAATCTCCTTATCCGTCACTTTATTCCTCTTCTACATTCTGCTGGGCTTCAGGTGGTCTCCAAGAATGCAGTAACAGAAAGCAGTTTTGTCCGTCTCAGAGACTGTGGTAGTGTGTCATCAAGTACAGACTGATGAGAAAAGAATGCATGTTCTCTAGTAAAATCTCCAATAAGCCCTCCCCTTTGGGCCAGCCTTAGATTTACATTTTCTTTGCTTTTATTTTCCCCCAATTAAATCTTTATTCAACCCAAGATTTATTACTTAAGAACTTAAAAAGAAAACGGTTATTCACTTGTCCTAAATTATGTTTTCTCACCTACTTTAAATCACTTTATCATATATTAAATTATCTCACATGATTTCCAACAACACAGATGGAGCCAGAGGGTATTATGCTCCGTGAAATAAGCCAGGCAGAAAAAGACAAGTACCAAATTATTTCACTCATTTGGGGAGTATAACAACCAAGTGAAACTGAAGGAACAAAATAGCAGCAGACTCACAGGCTCCAAGAAGGGAGTAGCAATTACCAGAGGAAAGGGGTAGGGGAGGATGGATAGGGAGGGAGGGAGAAGGGGATTGAG